ACAGAAATTATTGTAAAAACACAAAGAATATAAAATTGACTTACTTAAACCAAATAACTAGAGCATTTATGTTCTATTATTGCTGTAATAATAGAACATAAACACTCCGGTTATTTGGTTTAAGTAAGTTGATTTTATATTCAAACTGGTGTGTGAGAAAATTAAATATTACATAGCAATGCAAAGAAACCTTCGTTTGCACATATAGGATGACCTAGGTTTTTGAAGCAGTGAAAAATGAATAAAAACATTGTCTTATATGCGAGTAAATATGGTATTTTCTCAAAAGTACTTAACTTTTTTGTTTAGTTTATTAATATTTGTAATATTTCTGATATTAGACTTTTCTCAAAGTATCAATGCTAGAACAAAATTAATCATTTTGTCAGTTAGCATTTTATATTTTTTTCTGATTAGTTGAGATTATTTAATTTTCTTTCAAAAGAAAATTGAAATAAATTTATGTTTATTAAAATCTTTTCCACCATCCTATATATTTTATATAATCCTATACAGTGGGTGGGTTAATGAACATAATCTGTTCCAATACTTTGTTCGCTATCAAAATTGTTCGTTAACCGATTATTGATTTACTATAGGTTTCTATGGGAATTTGATTAATTCTTTCTGGAGACGCCCCAAAAATAAAGTATATACTTTCTTACTATGTTTATTCATATGTAATAATAAAAATATATATATATATATATATATACACGGTCTTGCATTTTTATTAGTCATGTTTTTTCTGTTTGTGGGGGGTTAAAGAATCTGTCCAATGTCGATTGCTTTTCTGTCTTATTCATGATTTTTCAGAAGTAATTAATAGCATTGTAATTGTAGAGATCCCTAGGCCTATTAACCTCAACTTGGTTTGGATGCCATTTTAAGACCGTTGTTCTGACATCCTCCTACTTCTTCAAAAGATCTTTAATAGCAGAAATCGGCATAAATCCGCATTTTCAGAAGAAAACGTAAAAGAATTGTTTTTGTCAGAAATACAAAAGGCTGGAATTACAAGGGAGAGTTTCAAAGTTCGGGGGAATACTATCCGATCAGTATATACTGGGTAGAACGTCGATGTCGACGTCTCCCG